AGAGCGAGCAAGCGTGCAGAACGTCGAACATCCGAACTACAGATACGTGCGCCCCGTGCCCCTGCGACCCCCATGAAAGGCCAAGCCGGAGCACCATGGACAAACTGTGGGTTCTAGCTTGCGGCCGCTTGCGGAGACACCCCAATCCTTATCGCCGAGAGTTGCGCGGCCAATCTCGTCGAGCCTCCTGCGGCGACTCGCCTCACAAAAACGGCCGTCCCCCCGCCTCCGAGCAGCCTGCCGACGCCCAGCACATCAGCTGACCCTCGACCTCCTTGACGCAGTCGAGCTCAGCACGGCGACGCACGAAGGGTTGAGCGGCTCGCCAGGCCCGTTCGCCGCCGCCCCCGCGGCCAGCTTCTCGGGCGGCGGCTCTGCCCCCCCCCGGGCAGCTCGAGAGAAGCGCAGGTCGCGCCACACGTGCCAAGGCACCCCGCCGGCGGCAGCACCTACCGGCCTTCACGTGCAGGCAAGGCCTCCGGGCAGAGCGGCACGAGCGGGCAGCCTTCGCGTGCAGGGCCGACTCCACGAGCGGCGCCACCTGCTCCCTGTCGCCCTGCCTGCTCCTCTGCATCTCGTTGAAGCTCGCGACACGAGCGGCCCTCCAGGTCCTCCATCGGCACGTCGAGGACGTGCAGAGCGACGCTGCGGGGCACCCTCTCGAGGTGCAAAGTGTGCAGGCGCGGTGCCTCGTCCCCTGGCGTCGATCTCCTCGGCCAGGATTGGGACGATGGCCCCGCCTCGCCTGCGCACCTCGGGTCGGGCATTCCCGCCGCGCCGCGCCGCCGGCAGCTCCCGAACGCGGGCAGTCTGCGCCCGAGCCGCGCCCCGCTCGCCGCCAGCGGGCGCTCGACCAGCCGATCCGATGCCTCCCTGGCGCGTGCCTGTCGAGCGCGTCGATCTGCAGCAGCAAGCAGTGGGTGTGGTCAGCCACACCTCGAGGAGGGGATCGACTACCGAATTGGACTGTTCCGTCGGGTCTACGACAATGCGCAGTATGCTCCCTCTGTGGATGTACGAGCATTCTACGGGCTTGTTTGCAGATTCGACGAACGAATCAACGTTGGGGTAAAACCATTATGTTGCCGACCCCTACTCGAACACCCTCCTGTAGCCATGTATTCAAGCTTCGCGAACGCCACGCCGCTACAGCGATCAGGAGCAGAAATGCCGACCAGGCTCAAGCAACTGGGCTTCGCTCGCTGTCGAGCGGCTTGAGCCTCCTCCTCCTCCTCCTCCTCCTCCTCCTCCTCCTCCTCCTCCTCCTCCTCTCCTCCTCCTCCGCCTCCTCCTCCTCCTCCTCCTCCTCCCTCCTCCTCCTCCTCTCCTCCTCCTCCTCCTCCTCCTCCTCCTCCTCCTCCTCCTCCGCCTCCTCCTCCTCCTCCCCCTCCTCTTCCTCCTCTCCTCCCTTCCCTCCTCTCCTCCTCCTCCTCCTCCTCCTCCTCCTCCTCCTCCTCCTCCTCCTCCGCGTCCTCCTCCTCCTCCTCCTCCTCCTCCTCCTCCTCCTCCTCCTCCTCCTCCTCCTCCTCCTCCTCCTCCTCACTGACCCAGTGCCCGAGCCCTCCCTGCCGAGGAGCTCTCCAACCGGAAGCCGACGGGCGCCCACCGCGCCCCTGTGGCCTGAGCCGAGCCCCGCGGGGCGCCCTCGGGCGCGTCCTTGGCCCCTGCCCCCCCAGCGCGAGAGGGGTAGGGGCAGGCGTAGCCCGCTGCGCGCACGCCCTACCTGGTGCGCAGCTGCTCAGCGGCTCTCGGTGAGCGCCAGAGGAGGGAGGCCGAGGAGGAGGAGGAGGAGGAGGAGGAGGAGGAGGAGGAAGGGGAGGAGGAGGAGGAGGAGGAGGAGGAGGAGGAGGAGGAGGAGAAGGAGGAGGAGGAGGAGGAGCAGGAGGAGTAGGAGGAAGCGGAGGAGGAAGCGGAGGAGGAAGCGGAGGAGAAGGAGGAGGAGGAGGTGGTGGTGGTGGTGGAGGGGTTGGAGGCGGGACAGACGGCGGGCGACCTGAGGATGTAAGACGGAGGAGGAGGAGGAGGAGAAGGACGAGGACGAGGAGGAGGAGGAGGAGGAGGGTAGAGGAGGATAGAGGAAGAGAAGGAAGAGGAGGAGGAGGCGGAGGAAGAGCAGCAGAAGCAGAAGCAAGAGCAGCGGCAGCAGCGGCGACGGTCGCGGCCGCGGTGCCAGCAGTAGCAGGGCAGGGGGAGGGAGGCAGGAAGTTTGAGAACGGAGCGAGAGAGAGAGAGAGAGACAGACAGACAGACAGACAGACAGACAGACAGACAGACAGACAGACAGACAGACAGACAGACACACAGACACACAGACACACAGACAGACAGACAGACAGACAGACAGACAGACAGACAGGCAGGCAGGCAGACAGACAGACAGACAGACAGACACACAGACAGACAGACAGACAGACAGACACACAGACAGACAGGCAGGCAGGCAAGCAGACAGACAGACAGACAGACAGACAGAGAGAAAGAGATAGACAAACAAACAACTACATTGAGATCCACATATGTCATCTCAGTTCCTGGTGCTTCCGTTTCTGAGCGTCTCAGTGAGAGGATATTGATTTTGGGCACGTGAGCGATCTTTGGCGGCTCCCCCTTAATTGCCTACATGCTATGCCTGCTGCATCGGGATGCTCGTGGGGCTTGGAAAGGACAGGGGTCGGAGGTGCCTAAACCAGCGGTTCGTTTCACTCGCTCGAGACATCCGCACGATCTGCCATAAAAGCAAAGGAGTCCCAGCCACGAAACGAGCGCCTCGCGCGAGACATCCTCACGGTCTGGCCGCCAACGGGCCCGTGCAACACCCCTTGAGGGCCCCCCGTGGGGTGCTAAAGCAAGCGCCTCGCTCGGGACATTCTCACGATCTGCTCTGGAAGCAGAGAAGAGGTGCCCAGGCCACGAAAAAAGTAAACCGTTCGAGACTTTCCGCGAACGGGCGAATGTAACAACCCGTGGCGGATCCCCCTCGGGGTGGTAGAACAAAGGCCTCGCCAGGGACATTCTAACGATCTGCCCTGGAGGCAGATGAGCCCGAGCCACGAAACGAGCAGGCCGCCTGAGATATCTCCACAATTTGACTGCGCACGGGACCGTGCAACACCCCCTGGCGGCCCACCCATGGTGTGATGAAACAAGGGCCTCGTCCGAGACGTCCTTACGATCTTTTCCGAAAGCTGATGTGCGCTGCCACGAAACAACAAAACCGCTTGAAACATCCCCACCAACTCGCCGTGCTGGCCGCGAACGGGCGAATCTAACACCCCCTTGGCGGTCCCCTCCCTTGGGGTGTTGAAGCAAGCGGCTCGATCGAAACATCCTAACGATCTGTTTTGAAATCAAAGGAATCCCAGCCACGAACCACTCGAGGCATCCGCACACTCTGGCCGCCAACGGGCGCGTCACACCCCCTCTGCGGCTCCCCTCTCGGGGTGCTAAAACGAGCTCGTCGCCCAGGACTCACGACCTGCTCTGGAAGTAACGGATTCCCAGCCACGAGACGAGCAAGCCCCTTGAGACAGCCCCACAATCTGGCCGCGACCGGGCGAGTGCAGCAGCCCTTGGCGGCTGCCCTCTGGGGTGCCCAGCAACTGGCGCGCCTGCCATGTCTCGGTGGCCACTGCGCCCGCAAGAGAGGAGCTTGGAGGGCGAGCAGGGACCGACCGTCCCGGCATTCCTATAGCCCTACCACGACACGTTCTCAGAACCCAAACATGTTCTAAGAACCCAAGCAATGTTCTTAGAATTTAAGCCTCATGTGCTGGAACGAGACAGGCTCCGCCAGCAATGTTCTAAGAACATTTCGTAGGAACCACAAAAGGTTCGTAGAATTGAACTTTTTTTTGGTAGGGCTATGGGCGAGCCAGGCCGCTTCGCCACTGCTTGTGTGTGGGCTTGTCATCGCTCGGACGCGTGCATTTTTCCGTCGGCGAGGACCATCGAGGAGCATCCTTGACCATTTGGCGAAAAAACCACGCACAAAACCGAAAAAAAACACAGGGAATGGTCGTCCGAGCGATGGCCACTGGGGGGGGGAGGCAGAAACGCTCAAACCGCAGGAGACGCCCCCACAATCCGAGCGCGAACGGGCGAATGCGCACTACCCGCCCGACGGCTCCCTCTCGCGGGGGGGTGCCCACGTGCCCCGCCTGCCTTGTCGCGGTGGCCACGGGGCACTCCACAGGGAGGAGCCCGGGCGGAGGACCAAAACAGGCAAACCGCCCGAGACGGCCCCACCATCTGGGCGCGAACGGGCCACCTCCTGCCGGCTCCACCTTTGGGCGCGCTAGTTCCAGCCATGTTTGGTCGCGGTGGTCACGCTGCGAGTTAGTGATCACACTGTGAGTGGTGTGCGCGTGCGTGAGTCTGAGTTAGGTTTGGTTGGGGACGAGCGGATCTGAGCGGGAGCGGTCTGTGTATGAGAGAGTCTGAGTATGGGCAAATCCGAGTATCAGTGGGTCTGCGTGCAAGCGAGTCTGAATGTCAGTGGGCCTGCGTGCGAGTGGGTGAGTACGAGTGCGGGCAAGTCTGGCGATCAGTGGACCCCAGTGTGAGCGAGTCTGAATATCAATGGATCTGAGTGTATGTGAGTGAGTCTGAGTGTCAGTGTGATGAGAGGACGGCAAGAGACGGGAATGAGGTTGAGGCGTCTTGGCAAAAAGGTGTGCCCTTATGTTGCAGGATAGGGGAAACAACAGATCCCCATCTTAGGATATGGGTGGAAAAATCAAGAGCCCATCTCAGGAGATGCAGAAAAAGAACCCCATCTCAGGATATGGGGGGGGGATGAGGAGAGGGATGAGAGGGAGGAGGCGTGAGTGCGTGAGTGAGGGAGGCGGGGGCGTCGCACGGCTCACAAGAGCCCCCTACTTACGATATTTGGGCCGACGTCGACGCCCGCGACAGTCGACGACGTAGGGGCTGACGCGAGGGTTGTCAGCGCGCGCACGCGCGCGCAGAGCCAGCTCTCCCCCCAGAGACCGCCGCCGCAGGACGCGGGCGGTGCCTGCGGCGCCGCGCCCGCGCGCCGCCGCGGGCGCGAGGGCTGGCGCGGCGCTGGCGGGGTCGGGGGCAACGCCAGGGGATGATGGTGATGATGGTGATGTTGATGCTGATGCTGAGAATGGTGGTAATGATGATGGTAATGATGATAGGCATGACAAAGATGGTAATGGCGATGATGATGATGATGATGATGTTGGTGATATGGATGATGGTGGTAATGATAACGGTGATGATACTGATGGTGATGATAATGATGACGATTCCGATGAGGATGCTGATGATGATGATGGTGATGATGATGATGGTGGTGGTGGAAGTGGTGGTGATGGTGATGGTGTTGGTGATCGTGGTGATGATGGTGATGGTGACGGTAATGGTGCTGATAATGATGATGATGATGATGATGATGATGATGATGATGATGATGATGATGATGATGGTGATGGTGATGATGATGGTGATTATGAGGATAGGGATGATGATGATGATGATGATGGTGGTGGTGATGAGGAGGATGAGGATGAGGATGGTGACGACGATGATGTTGGTGATGATGGTGACGGTGATGGTGGTGGTGGTGATTGTCATGGTCATAGTGATGATGATGGTGATGATGTCGATGGTGTTGTTGCTGAGGATGGTTGTGGTGATCATGGTGGTGATGATGATGACGACGACGATGATGTTAATGATGATGATTGTGATAATATGTACAATAATCGTCATCAGCAGTAGGAGCCTCATCAGCATCATCATCTTCATCAGCATCACCATCGTCACGTCGTCATCATCATCGTCATCTGCATCATCATCGTTATCGTCATCAATCGAATCCTCAACATCACCATCATCACCGTCATCATAGTCAGCATCATCAGCATCGTCATCATCACCATTGTTGTCACCACTGTGATCGTCAGAATGTAATCATCATCAGCATCATCAGCAGCAGCAACATAATTTTTATCGGTGTCGTTATCGCTATCAACGTAATCACCATCATCATCGTCATCATCGACGTCATCATCACCATCATCATCATCGTCGCCGCAGCATCATCATCATCGTCGTCATCGTCATCATCGTCATCATCAGGCTCAGGGGGCGGACGCATCTGCTCTGCCTGGGCCTCCAAGTTGAAACTGTCGCCTGAGACATCCTCACAAAAATGATATGTCGTCGTTTTATGTTTCAATGTTTTGCCGATCGGCGCTGGCCCTCGCACCCTCTCCCCTTCCCCCCCCTGGAGTAGATTTTGGCTGTTTTTGGCGCCTGCTTCGAGCAGGCTATAGGACGCACTGTTTCAAACAGTCGCACTAAGCAGAGGTCCAGAGCCAGACCCCCCTGCCTCCCCCCCCCTTTCCGCCCAATGTCGAAACGCCGAATAAGAGAACGCTCACTATGTTGGAGATCGAGCGTCGGATGTCGAACATGGCGTGGGGAAGGGGCGTCTCGCATGCCGACGCACAGCGACGACGCGGACGCCCCTTAACACAACGCAGACGCCCCCCCACTTCCGAATCCCGAGTTCGGAGGCCCACGGAAGAGGCGGTCACGCGTGTCCTCGAACGCCCCTCCCTCACGACGTCCACGCCCACCGCCTCCGAAGCCCAAATGAAAATGCGGAAGCCCAAGGAAGAGGCGGTCACGCGCGTCCTCAGACGCCCCCTCCATCACGACGCAGAAGCCCCCCCACCTCCGAGAACCCCGCGGGCGGAGGCCCAGGGGAAATGGTGGGCCACGTGTCCTCAAACGCCCCCCCCCCTCCGAATCCCACGCCTCCCCCCCCCCCATCCTCAAACGCTCCCCCCTCCTCAAACGCCCCCCCCCCCTCCTCAAACGCTCCCCCCCACCCCTACCGACGCGAGACCGCAGACGCCCCCCCGCGCCTCCGAGAAGCCCAGGCAGTTCGGAGGCCCGAGCACGGCGCGGAGCCGCGCGCGCGCCCCCATCTGTGGCCCTCTGCCGCTGGCGGGCGGCGTTGCGGGGGGGAGGCGCGCGCGACGCGCGGCGCGGCGCGCGGCAGGGCACGGCACGCGGCGCGAGGGGCGCGGCGAGGTGCGCGCGGCGCGGCCGCGGCGCGCGGCGCGCGGCGCGGTGCGAGGCGCGCGCGGTGCGAGGCACGGCGCGGCGCGCGGGGCGCGGCGCGGCGCGGCGCGGCGCGCGGCAGGGCACGGCACGCGGCGCAGGCGGCGCGGCGCGGTGCGCGCGGCGCACGGCGCGGCGCGCGGCGCGCGGCGCGGCCGGAGGCAAGGCAGTCACGAGGCCTTGCCTCTCGAGGCTCGAGGACGGGAGGATGGCGAGGGCACCGGTTCTCTCCGTGTGCGATCGGGCCCTCGGCCTTCGACCCCGGCGAGGTATGTGACAGCAGGTCCTCGGATCCAGAGTCCTGGCCGGGTTCGCGGGTCCCTCTCCAGCCAGGCTTGGGAGCTGTTTCCCCCGTCGGGGCCTTCTGGTGGAGCCACTCTCCTGCCCTCCCCACTCCGCCTTGCGACTGGAGGAAAGAGGAAGAGTGATGAAAGGAGGACGTGGAGGAGGAGGCGAAGGGTCAGGATGGTAATGGGAACGAGTAGGAGACGGAGAAGGGAAAGGAGCAACATTAGGCCACCGTGAAGGAGGATAAGGAGAAGGAAGGAGGAGGAGGAGGAGGAGGAGGAGGAGGCGGGAAGAGGAGGAGGACGAGGAGTGGAGAAAGAAAACGAGTTGACGTGGGAGGAGGAGGAGGAGGAGGAGGAGGAGGAGGATTGTCACGGCTGTCGTTTAAGGCACGGGTAATGTTTTACCGCTTCGTGCCCTAACAATGGTGGCACGCCATGTTCTGGATGCAACACTCGTGAAGATGCGGCTACTACCACGCCTATGCTGTGCAACACTCGCGACAATGCCCTCCACTGCGCGGCCTATGACCGCCCATGGCCTACACGCGGGCCCTTTGCACGGTGGCTGGTAAGCCCCCCACCCCCATGCCTGACACTGCCACCTATGCCCCGCGTGCAACTGCGGAGACCCCAGGCCTGCTACGGCCTACTATGGTCTGCGAACTATAAGCATGAACCTACCTGACTGTTTGGTATGCCATGCTAGCTCAAGTGGGATGCAACCTGGAATGCACGAGTAAAGTCCCCCACGACTGCGAAGCAGGATGGTTTACAACCGCCTGGCCTCTTCCCAGAGGAGGGCCACCCCACGACTGTGAAGCACACTTAGCTGCCCCGTGCCAATCCCCGTACTCCCATGGATGCAACACTTGTGAAGATGCGGCTACTACCACGCCTATGCTGTGCAACACTCGCGCCAATGCCCTCCACTGCACGGCCTGTGGCCACCCATGGCCTACACGCGGGCCCTTTGCACGGTGGCTGGTAAGCCCCCCACCCCCATGCCTGACACTGCCACCTGTGGCCCGCGTGCAACTGCGGAGACCCCAGGCCTGCTACGGCCTAATAAGGTCTGCGAACTATCAACATGTCAAAGCATGAACCTACCTGGCTACTCCTCCACGACGTGTCTGGGGCACGGGGCCAAAAGCACGAGGAGGAGGAATAGGATGAGGAAGAGGAACAGTAGGATGAGGAGACCAAATAACGCAATACCAGACAAGAGACGCCTCTTCCGTACCAAAACGACCACCCTTCGGGTGATAAGGAGGTTTCGGGGGGGGGAGTAACCAACGCGCACGAACACGAAACCGAAACCGATTTCCCGGTAGGGGGGCTCTCCGTTCCACTTCGATCTCTCCCCCTCACCTCCGATTTACATGGGACATCCTCCAATGCGCGGGGACTGCGTGTCCCATAAAAGGGACTGCGCGTCCCATTTGCCAGGACTGTGTGTCCCATAATCGAGACTGCGCGTCCCATTTGCCAGGAATGTGTGTCCCATAGCAGGGACTGCGCGTCCCATTTGCCAGGGCTGCGTGTCCCATAACAGGGACTGCGCGTCCCATTTGCCAGGACTGTGTGTCCCATAATCGAGACTGCGCGTCCCATTTGCCAGGAATGTGTGTCCCATAGCAGGGACTGCGCGTCCCATTTGCCAGGACTGTGCGTCCCATAATCGAGACTGCGCGTCCCATTTGCCAGGATTGTGCGTCCCATAATCGAGACTGCGCGTCCCATTTGCCAGGAATGTGTGTCCCATAGCAGGGACTGGGCGTCCCATTTGCCAGGACTGCGTGTCCCATAACAGGGACTGTGCGTCCCATTTGCCAGGACTGTGCGTCCCATAATCGAGACTGCGCGTCCCATTTGCCAGGAATGTGTGTCCCATAGCAGGGACTGCGCGTCCCATTTGCCAGGACTGCGTGTCCCATAACAGGGACTGTGCGTCCCATTTGCCAGGACTGTGCGTCCCATAATCGAGACTGCGCGTCCCATTTGCCAGGAATGTGTGTCCCATAGCAGGGACTGCGCGTCCCATTTGCCAGGACTGCGTGTCCCATAACAGGGACTGTGCGTCCCATTTGCCAGGACTGTGCGTCCCATAATCGAGACTGCGCGTCCCATTTGCCAGGAATGTGTGTCCCATAGCAGGGACTGCGCGTCCCATTTGCCAGGACTGCGTGTCCCATAACAGGGACTGTGCGTCCCATTTGCCAGGACTGTGTGTCCCATAGGGAGGAGGAGGAGGATTGTCTCGGCTGTCGTTTAAGGCACGGGTCAAGTGTTACCGTATCGTGCCCTAACAAAAGGGAACATGACCGTCAACCTAATGAAGCGAAGCGGCGGCGGCAGCGGCCAGCCGCACTGTATATGCCGTACCCCGACCGCTATTACTCGGGTACTATGTAATCTACCTACGGATGCCTACCAGGCGAGACACGGCCCACGACTGTGAAGCCCGTTATATGGAATGCGCCACCGTCCTCCTGGAGGGGGGCCGCTCCACGACTGTGAAGCCCGCTTAACTACCCTACTCTCATCCTCCCTCAACAGGAGGGCCGCCCCACGACGGTGAAGCCTTATTATCGCCAAACTCTTACCTTTGCCCTTCGCTGTCACTTGTCCCCCCACCACTAAGTGGCAATTCGTCCCTTCCCCCAGACTTTGAAGCTTGCCCACCCCCCTCGCACAATGAGAGGCAGGCGAGCAACGCCCCACGACTGTGCCCTTTTTTAACAACCCCACTCTCACCCTCCCTCAAAAGGAGGGCCGTCCCACGACTGTGAAGCCCTAACATTGCCCCTCGCTTATCCTTTTACCTTTTCCAGTCACGTGTAACCCCGCGACTAGATAGCAATACCTACTCGGCAAACCTCTCCCCTACTACTGCTCTCCATGGGGTCCATGTGAAGCACGGTTATCCCCTTGAAAGCTACCCACCTATTATGGGAGCGGCCGCGGGGGCGAACCTTCCAATACTAAAATTCGACACCTATTGCTACAAGAAGGGCCCCACGACTGTGGGGCACCAATAACCCGGACTGCGCCGTGGCCACCTCTCTGTTGGGCGATGGCCTGCCCCACGACTGTGAAGCCCCCTAAAGCGCCAGCCCAGGCCCCAGGGCCGCCCCACGACTGTGAAGCCTCAGGGCCGCCCCAAGACTAATATGAACAATGCCAGGCGAACCTTGTTGTCCCGGCTCTCCGGGCTCCTTAATAATCCCCCCCCCACGTCCACTAAGTGGTCCTGTCGGCTCCTCACTAGCAGATTCCCAGTCCATGAAGGGTGCTGCGTTAAATTGGGGTGCCAAGGGGGTCACGCTCCCAGCCCCTTAGTCCGAGGGGTCTGGGCCCTTCTGCCCCCTACAAGTGTGAACCCTACATGATGCATACGGTCTCCGTTGCTTCTCTACCCCCCTGGCGTGGCTGGGGACTGGCATTCGCCCCAGACCACGCTCTGATTCTAGCCCTTCCCTAACCCCCTCAGGCGGTTACTCCTTGTGCTGGGAGGGCACTTGAACGTGCCTCTTGCCACTGTCGCCCCGCTGTTCACTCCCCTGGGGGCTCTGCTGGATCGGGCGTGGGGAATCCACGCCCTTAGTGGCGCCCCGTGCGTCCCCAGCCGACTCCCCCAGAGGAGTATAGAACAGCATTGGCACGGGGAGGAGGAGGAGGAGGAGGAGGAGGAGGAGGAGGAGGAGGAGGAGGAGGAGGATGAGGAGGAGGAGGAGGAGGAGGAGGAGAGAGGAGGAGGAGGAGGAGGAGGAGGAGAGGGAGGAGGAGGGGAGGAGGAGGAGGAGGAGGAGGAGGAGAGGAGGAGGGAGGAGGAGGAGCAGGAGAAGGAGGGGGGAGGGAGGAGGAGGACGGAGAGAGGAGGAGGAGGAGGAGGAGGAGGAGGAGGAGGAGGAGGGGAGGAGGAGGAGGAGGAGGGGGGAGGAGGAGGAGGGGGAGGAGGAGGGGGAAGCAGCGTGCAGCGTCCAGCAGCGTGCAGACCATCGCCCTGGCGACTCCTGTCACTCATCGCCGTCGAACGATCTCCTTCTTGGCCTTCATCCCCTTGACGATCCTCTCCCGTAGCAGCTCAGCGTGGCGCCTCCTCTTGTCCTCGCTGCTGACGTGCATCCCGGAGTCTAGCAGCGAGAACACCGCCCCGTGCCCCGGGTCGCCTCGCCCCAGCTCCAGCTGCAGCAGAGTGGTGAGGCACATCCCGCTCGGACGAGGCGCGATCGCACGTGCTAGCCTCCTCATCCCCGTGGCGAGCACCGACCGAGGGCGCAATGGTGAAGACCTTGCACGCGTACGCCGCCCGATGGTGATGGTGATGATGATGATGATGATGATGATGATGATGATGATGATGATGACGATGATGATGATGACGATGATGATGACGATGATGATGATGATTATGATGATTATGATGATGATGATGATGATGATGATGATGATGATGATGATGATGATGATGATGATGATGATGATGATGATGATGATGATGGTTTTGATGATGATGATGAGTATGGTTATGGTTATGGTTATGATGGTGATGATGCTGATGCTGATGCTGATGATGCTGATGCTGATGCTGATGCTGATGATGGTGCTGGTGTTACTGATGATACTGCTGATGATGATGATGACGATGATGACGATGCCGATGAGGATGATGTTGTTGATGGTGATGACGATGAGGAGAAGGAAGAGGATGGTGATGGTGATGGCGACGGTGATGCTGATGCTGATGCTGATGTCGACACTAATGCTGATGCTACTGTTGATGCTGATGGTGATGGCCATGATGATGAGGATGTTTGTGATGATGATCGTGTTGGTGGTGGATGATGATGGTGGTGATGATGATGGTGGTTGTGATGATGACGGTGGTGATGGTGATGCGAATCATGATGGTAAGACTGATGATAATGATAACTTACTGATGGTAAGAATAAGAAAATGATACCAGCAACAATAGCAGTGATGAAGATGATGATAATGATGAAAACAATGATCATAATAATAAAGATAATGGTACGAATAGTCATGATGATGGTCATGGTAACAATTATGATAATGATGTTGATGCTCATCATCATCATCATGCTGATGGTGATGGTGGCGATGATGATCATGATGATGATGGTGATGATGATGGTGATGGTGATGACGATGATGAGGATGAGGGTGAGGATGATTATGATGATGATTATGATGATGATGATGATGATGATGATGATGATGATGATGATGATGATGATGATGATGATGATGATGATGATGATGATGATGATGATGATGATGATGATGATGGTGATGGTGGTGATGGTGGTGGTGGTGATTATGACGACGATGATGATGACGACGATGACGATGACGATGATAATGACAATGAGGAGGAGGAGGAGGAGGAGGAGGAGGAGGAGGAGGAGGGGGAGGGGGAAGGGCAGGACGTAGTGGTGGCACTCCAGGAGGGAGAGTGTAGCACCCGTGTCAGAAGAAAGCGCCGGGTTCGTGCATCCCGCAGGTCTCTGTTGGGCCCCAAGGGTTGTACCTGCCCCCCGGGCCCAGCAGCAGAAACGCATGAGAATGGTGCGGAGGGGGGGGGGCATCATGAGCAGGATGGAGCGGATAGCAGTGGGGGGGGCATCATGAGGGGGGGGGAGCATCATGAGCATGATCGTGAGAATGGTGCGGAGAGGGGGGGGCATCATGAGCAGGATGGGGCGGAGAGGGGGGGCGAGAGAGCGACAGCACGACCGCGCGCGCCCGCGGGCCGATTCCGTCGACCACACGCGCCCAGCGGCCCCGCACGCGCACGCAGCAGCATCACACGTAGCGCATGCGTTCACGCTCCACTTACCGTCGCTAGTGCTCCATGGTTTCTCACGCCTCGTCGCAGTCCATGCACGCATGGACCTGTGGACCTTTACGGTTCTTTCCGAGGAGGAGAGCGAGGAGGAGGACGAGGAGGAGGAGGAGGAGGAGGAGGACGAGGAGGAGGAGGAGGAGGAGGGTCTTCGAGCAGGGGTGGTAAGTTTTGCTCCCGCCCCAGATCCTGACCCCAGTCCCCAGAGGTCCCTGGAAGCCCCCGCAGTTCCCCCGGACGCATCCAGCGGCCTCCGTAGCCTCGACAGGGCCCAAAAAGCGTTCGCAAACCTCCCCCCTTCCACCCTCGAGCGTCGAGGGCATCCCTTGGCAAGGAGGGGCAGGAGGAGGAGTTGGAGAAGCAGCAGCAGCAGGCGGAGAAACGAGGGCGCGGCGAGGCGCTGGCTGCGGCGCTCGCCTCCGGCGCCGTCGGCTTCTGCCCCGCCCCGCCCGGCGGCGGAACTCGCGGGCGGCGGGCGGCGGTGACCCGGAACGCCTTCCCTTGGGAAGGACCCCGTGGGGGGCGGAGGAGGAGGAGGAACGATGAGGAGGGAGAGGAGGAGGGGGAGTGAGAGTAGGAGGGAGAGGAGTAGGGAGAGGGGGAAGAGGAGGAGGAGGAGGAGGAGGAGGAGGAGGAGGAGAGGAGGAGGAGGAGGAGGAGGGGAGGAGGAGGAGGAGGGAGGAGGAGGAGGAGGACGAGGAGGACGAGGAGGAGGACGAGGAGGACGAGGAGGAGGAGGAGGAGGAGGAGGAGGAGGAGGAGGAGGAGGAGGTGAGGAGGAGGAGGCGGAGGAGGAGGAGGGAGGACGAGGACGAGGGAGGAGGAGGAGAGAGGAGGACGGACGAGGAGGACGAGGAGGACGAGGAGGAGGAGGAGGAGGAGGAGGAGGAGGAGGCGGAGGAGGAGGAGGAGGAGAGGAGGAGGGGAGGAGGAGGAGGAGGAGGAGGAGGAGGAGGAGGAGGAGGAGGGAGGAGGACGAGGAGGACGAGGAGACGAGGAGGACGAGGAGGACGAGGAGGACGAGGACGGAGGAGGAGGAGGAGGAGGGGAGGAGGAGGCGGAGGAGGCGGAGGAGGAGGAGGAGGAGGAGGACGAGGAGGCGGAGGAGGAGGAGGAGGAGGAGGAGAGGAGGGAGGAGGAGGAGGAGGAGGAGGAGGAGGAGGAGGAGGAGAGGAGGAGGAGGAGGAGGAGGGAGGGAGGAGGAGAAGGAGGAGGAGGAGGAGGAGGAGGGGGAGAGAGGGAGGAGAAGGGGGAGGAGGAGGAGGAGGAGGAGGAGGAGGAGGAGGAGGCGGAGGAGGAGGAGGAGGCGGAGGAGGAGGAGGAAGAGGAGGAGGAGGAGGAGAGAAGGAGGGGGAGGAGGAGGAGGAGGAGGAGGAGGAGAGGAGGAGGAGGAGGAGGAGGAGGAGGAGGAGGAGGAGGACGCGGAGGAGGGGGAGGGGAAGCGCAGGAGGAGCAGCACCAGCCACCAGCAGGAGTCAAGCCTACGCACTCGGATACGCATGGCGGCGGCATTGCAGCGGCAGCTGAACCGTGCGTTGGCTGATCTCCCAGGTTTTCGCCCAGTCACCGCCCGTGGGCGTTTGTCCAGTCTCCCTTCCTTTGGTTGTGTTCTCGCTTGGCCTCCGCCCGTGGGCCCCAAAGATCGGTTGCACCCCGCAGGTTGCAACTCATAGACTGCACCCCGCAGTTTGCACCACATGTTATGCACCACTCAAACCGCACCACATGTATTGTATTGCACTACATAGCTTACACCGCATACGTTGCAACATACAGCTTATGCGAAAAGCGTACCCAACAAACATAGTGTGTACCACATGAATATCAGATTCACTGTGCAAAAGCCCACTGTTCGGGATCCAAGCTTGCCCACGTGGGTCCTGGTCTTCCTATTCCTGACACCCTCCGACGACGATTTGCGCATCGGACCACAGAGCCATTGGGCCGACTGTCACTGTAAAAAAACATGCCAGCGCTGCCATTTCGGCATGTCGTGCGGTTTGCCGGGGGGTAACGCCGAATATCTTGATAGTACCCCGCTGTTGAGCGCACAATCCCAGCCTACTCTCGTAAAACGTGGATCTATGGAAGTTGATGGTTCATCCAAAGAGGTGGCACGAACGTCACCGTGGACCGCGTGCAGCGCCAAAGCCCAGCAGCTGAGGTGGCGATTAGAAAAGCGGGCCGTCGGCTGAAGCGACCTGGCCGAAGTTTCCTGGGCGGGTGGCGAAGGTATGTACTGCAGATTGGCGAGCTTGAAAATTTCCTCGAAGTTAAAAGAGTCTTGCCGCAATTCACAGACGGTCGCTGTCGCGACCGTTGCAGCAGCCGCGGATATGGCGCATGCTGTCCACGCCGTGCTGGCTGCAGCGAGGGCAGATCCGCACTTTGCTGTACTCCGCCTCGGTCAGCCGATTCTGATGCCACAACCTTCATCTAACAGAAGCCTTCGGCGCTCCGGCTTCTTTCGCCCGCCAAGCGCGGAGAGATTCCAAGCGCCACGGCTCAGAGAGCCAGGATGACTGACGGACGGACAGACGGGCGGGTCGCTAGGCGCGCAATGCTTGGCAAGCCAAGCGAGCGGTCATTGCATGAGGGGAAGAAGTCCCGAGCAGAGCAACACGCGACGACGACGACGACGACGACGACGACGACGACGACGACGACGACGACGACGGCAGCGGAGGAAGCGAGGCGCGCATCGGATCTGCAACGAAGCACGGATCCCAGAAAGGGCCCGCCCTTCGAGATTTGTTGGTACACAGCACGTCGTTGGGCGGTAACTGCGGCCCTTCCCCGAGCACAGGGCACCCCCCCCCCACCCCAGAGCAGCAGCCAGACGCTTCGGGTGTGAGCCCTCGTGCCTTGCTGAGCCCGTGGGGCGCTTCGGGGGAGGAAGGAGCAGGAGCAGGAGGAGGACGAAGGGGAGGAGGTGGAGCAGGAGGGAGGAAGAGGGGGGAGGATGAAGAGGAGGTTCATGAGGGGGGCGCGGAGGAGGAGGAGGAGGAGGAGGAGGAGGTCGACGACGACTAGGGAGGAGAGGATGAGGAGGAGGAGAAAGGGAAGGGTCGACGACGTCTCCCGGCGATACGGCATTCCTGTGGCGTCTGGAATTTGCATCGCCATGTCCATGGCATCGCTTCTCGCCGACGCTCTGGCGCTCGAGGATTGTACTTGTTTGTTCTGCGCAACCTGCTGGCGCACTGGATGTCTCGAAAGCCCGTTCGATTTTGAACGGGCGTGCCGCTACTCAGGCCGCGGCCGCAGCTGGGATGGACCATAGCAGTGTAGCGCGGTCTTCTGTTACGAGGTATGGCGATCGTTTGTAATTTGCAATGTCGTCGTACAGTTGACCTGATTGTTTGATTTGCGACTCCCCTGGGCTTACGCCTCAGAACGAGCAGTCCGCAGACTGGGCATTGTCATGTCTTCTGGCGTCCAAGAGGCCGAAGAGGAAAGAGAAGGGAGATGCGTGGGTGGGTGGTGAGCGGATGGACGAATGGACGGATGGATAAATTGATAGGTTGGTCTAGGTTGGGTCGGATCGCATCGGCTCTCACCCAGTCTGAACGGACCAAATAGCATTGGGTCGGGTTGGATTGGGTTTGGCTGCCTAGTTTGGGTGGTCATGTGTGCAGAGCAATACATTGATCGGTGGGACCGTTTCGAATCAGGTTCGTATCGGACAGAATCGGATGGGCTCGCAGAGTTGTGTTGGGTGGTTGGTTGGATGAACGGGCGGTCCGATCGGATACTACCTGGTTGTACCAGGTGGTTGGGTGACATGGTGGCCGGATAGATGGAAAGGGTTGGCGCGCATGCGGTCGAAGGAACGGAAAGCCAAGCCAATGATGAGTGGATAAAGGGGTCGTTGACGGCCGATGACCGACTTGTCAACCAAAGGATCGGTCATTCGATGCGTAAGACTATGCATCCTCATGTTGCACAGATGCAGGAGAGAGTCGCGCCGTCACGTCCGTGAAGAAGTTCTTCCAGGCTTGCTTGATTGTTGTTGGCATTCACGCTTGCTTGGTCCCATTCATCAATCGCTACTATACGTTATGCCGGAGCGCCCGCACATGCATATTCGTATTTCCTCTCGCTACTGCCCCAGACAACGTTACCCTGGCGAAGAATCCAATTTTTGTGGCACATGGAGCCACAATACGTGAGAGGGGTGTGCCGAAGTTCACCCGCGTCACCATTCGGACGCAGCCGCGGGGGCGTTGGGTGGAGCTCTTCTGGGGCCACAAAACATATGAGGTGTGTGCCGAAATGCACACGAGTTAACATGCGAACGCAGCCACTGAGGCCTTCTGTGGAGCTCCATCTGGGGCCACGAAACGTGTGAGCGTTTTGCCGAAATGGACCCGAGTCGCCATGCGGACGCAGCCATTGGGGCCTTGGGTGGGGCTCCATATGGGACCACGAAACGTGTAAGGGGTGTGCCGAAATTGACCTGAGATACCATGCGGACGCAGCCACTGGGGCAGAGGGTGGGGCTCCATATGGAACCACAAGGGGCGTGCCGAAATTGACCCGAGACACCATGCGGACGCAGCCATTGGGGCTTTGGGTGGAGATCCCTATGGGGCCACGAAACGTGCGTGAGGGGTGTGCCGAAATAGATTCCAGTCGCCATGCGGACGCAGTCATTGGGGCCGTGGGTGGGGCTCCACATGGGGCCACGCAACGTGTAGCTCAAGTTGTTCTGGCTCGAGCCTTGTACAGTCTCTTGAGCCTGCGCAGGCAACGCCTGACGACCCCATCGACTCAGTGTGCCCGTGGCTCTAGCGTTTTTTTGGGGGGGCGGGGCATTACTCCATGGAATGGGGAGACTTGGGCGGCCCTGGCGCGCTGCAGATGGTGGTCGAGGCGGTCGGCGGCGGTAAGCGGCACGCTCAGGGCGATGCAGCTGGCTCAGGCGTGCCAGATGGAGCCACTGCCGCCGCCGTCCGCCGCCTCGAGGCTAAAGGCGGTACCGAAGCAGCAGCTTGTGCCTCTGGCCCACAGGCAGATGCAGCCCACGCCGAGGCCCAGCTGCTCTCCTCGGCCGCCTCCGCTGGCCCTCGAGGCGGCGCCGAGGGCGTGGACGGAACCCGACCTGCCGGGGACCGAGCTGGGGCTCCAGAGCTCAGCCCAGGCCATGCGCCAGCCCAAGAGGGCATAGCGCCCACTTGGGCGATGGACGCCGAGGGACCAGAAGCCGAGCTCGCTCAACCTCTGCGGGCCCCGTGTGTCGGGCCGGGCCGGCTCAGGCGAGCGCCGGAGCGCGTTAGCAAACAGAGCCCGCGCACGCACTGAAGCTAGATGGAGCTCGACAGCCAGGGGCCGCAAGGCTTGGCGCGAAGGTCCACGAGGAGCAGCTGGCGACACGGCTTCGGCCGTGGCATCGACCAGAGATTTGCCAGAGTCTTCGGGCCGCAATCGCTTGGAGGATGCTCCCCTGCCGAGGGCCCCAGCGGACGCCCGTGGGCCGTGGGCTAAAGGCCCTGGATGCCCCGCCTCCGAACATTGCGTAGGCGCGCATTTGCTGCACCCCTTCGCGTAGACCACGGCAAGGCCGGACGAGCTCTTCGAGCGCTCCGCTTTTGAGCGCACCGCTCCAGAGTCCGTCTCCACCGTCACCGAGTCTTCTGCAAGAGGCGCGGCGGCGGCGGGCGGCTCGGGCGAGTTCAACAACGAAGTGGCCTCCGTCACCAGTGTGCTGGACGAGCGCACGCGCCTCGGTGGTGCTCTGGGGCCATCGGCTGGTGCTGGTTCGGGGACCGTGGACCGGGGGAATGGGGGTGGGCCCGGCTGTCAGGGTTCAGGGGTGCACTCTTCGGGTGTCCGCCATATTGGGCGCTCTCTGTCGCGTCCCCCTCCCGAGCCGGTTGACTCTGGCACTGGGGCTGGCACCGAGTTCGTTAGCCTCGACTCTCACGACGCCGCCACAGACGCAGACAACGAAGATACAGCCGAGGCTGAGGACTACGCTCGTCCGGACGCTTAAAACGAGAACTGGGATGCTGTGAGGGGGTGCGGACTCGTAGGCCACTTTCTTTGATGTAGTGGTCGATGCCGAGGTAGGATGCTGGATCCAGGGCCAACGAGGTAGCACTGCTGAACGGTGATATGCTCCACTTCTCCACCAACTATGTACTTATCCGTTCCTCCTACGCCTCCTTATCCTCCTCATCATGATCAGCATCATCATCATAATCCTCCTCCTACTCTTCTTCCTACTCCTCCGCCTCCTCCTCCTCACCATCATAATCAGAATCCTCATCATCAGGGTCAACATCATAATCAGCAGCATCATCATCAGCAGCAGCATTACCATCAGCATCACCACCGCCACCATCAAAATCGTCATCGTCAGCAGCAGCATCATCACCATCACCATCATCATCAGCAGCAGCATCATCATCATCAGCATCATGGTCAGCAGCAGCATCATCACCAGTAATGGAGGATGACGATTAATCAATGACCAGGGGTCATGTTCACGCGGCGGCGCCCAAGATGACGATTAGAAAAAACCGGCCGCGGGCTGGAAAACTATTTTTTATCGTTCTCCTCTAGTCAGGAGATTGTGCAGAAATAGCAGACAACTATTTGTTTAATCGTTCTCTCCCAATGTTTTATTAGTCGCCACCCCGCATTATCAGTAGCAGTATGATCATCACCGTCGTCGTCACAATCATCATCATCAGCAGCAGCATCATAATCATCATCAGCATCAGCACCAGTATCCTCACCGTCGTCGTCACAATCCTCAGCATCGTCATCATCATCATCATCATCATCATCATCATCATCATCAGTATCAGCATCACCATTATCATCAGTTGCATCATCAACATAATCATGATCACCATCAACAACAAATCGTCCTCATCGTCATCGTCGTCATCGTAATCGTCATCGTCATCGTCATCATCCTCAACATCAGCCGTTGTCTTCCCTCCTTCCCCGCCACATCCCCCGTGCCTCCTCTGTCCGTCTGTCCGTGTTTCATCCCTCCTCCCGTCGCCTTTAGGTTGTTGTTTAACAGGCATGGTATCACTCACCGACGCAAAGGCGGCTTTCCCGAAGGGAACATGTGAGATAATTGTTGAAGCCAAAATCGCAGCTAGGGGCGCGCCCTCACGCAAGGAGGAAGAGGAGGAGGAGGAGGAGGAGGAGGAAGAGGAGATGCCCCCCCCACGCTTGCACACCCACTCTCACCACTTGCCACCACGCCCTTGCGGTCGCACAGCCGCCACCTCCCCCACTCCTCCCCTCTCGTTTCATGGATCGCCGTTCGCTGCCCCCCCTCCCCCCCCCAGGGGCGTCGGAGAACGTAGCTACCCTGCCCCTGGGAGGGACCCCCTCCTGCCGTATCGCGCCGCACGTTACTTCTGCAGCGTGGCTTCATCGCACGCACACACACACACAGGGGCAGCGGCTCCTGGCAGGAGGAGGATGACAGCGTCAGGATAGCAATACTGTCTTGCCACCAGCTCCAAGCTCCGACCGGTCCCCGAGGCCTGGAACGAGCGTGACATGGACGCGGCGTGCGCCCAGTTCTCCGACGACTGCACATACGTGGACACGCAGTACGACGGGGCCTTCGAGGGGAAGGCGGCCGTGGAGGCGCGGCGGGGGTGGGGTCACCGTGGCAGGGCCATGGCCATGAGAGTCTTCTCATTGATCCTACAGTGAGCGGCTTGAGTAAGGAGCACTTACTTTTCAATGTTTCCTTATGCGTTATTCCTCGGGATAAAAAAGGGGCTTCGTTCCTTGTGTATCGTTCCTTCGGTCAAGCCCCCGACTGTACTGGGCGAGCACTGCCAGCGCCTTTTTGCACCTGGCGGCTGGCGTTGGCGGCGGCGGCGTTGGTCGGTTGAGAATGTCGTTGCCCACGGCATGTCGAATTCTGCCAGGAGGCAATCGGTCTTCCTCCACCCTCCACTCCCCACCGTGGTATCGTCCTCCTCGCCATCCACGTCCTCATTCGTCCACGGTCTCCAAGGGTCCTGGAACTGGCGCGTATGCTTCTCTTGCTGTTGGTCGTCTGCAGGGTTTGGCGGCGCATGGTGCCCCCCTCCCCCGCCCCACCAGGGCTAGCAGGCTGCGCGGAATGCGTGGCACGTTGTGGGTGTCGACGGGTCTGTCCAGTGTCCCCCGAGGAGCATCTGTACAGGGTGGCCGACGCGCTGCCCTCGAGCTTCCGGTTCTGCATCGACGAGATCTCCGACGGCGGCGACAAGGCAGCCTCGGTTCGGCAAGTTGACGGCGCCGCGTGATTGGAAGGAGGAGGAGCTGGAGGAGGAGTAGGAGGAGGAGGAGGAGGAGGAGGAGGAGGAGGAGGAGGAGCAGGAGGAGGGCATGCTGCTAGAGCCGCGGGATTGCTGCTGTGCGGGTCGGAAGTGGGAGGAGGACGACGAGTTTGGGCAGGAGGAGGAACAGCAGCAGCAGCTGGAGCGCAAAATGGACGAGGAGGGCAAGGTGGGGGAGGACGGGTATCAGCAGCAGCGGGAGGACAACGAGGAGGCTGGACGGCGGGGGGCGAGCCCCTCATCGCCACCAAGGCCAGGCTCCGCTCAGAAATTGGTTTCGGGATGGCGCCCGATGGTCGTCCGCGGACCGCCCTGGAGCGCGCTCTGCTCAGGAAGAGGAGGTAGTCTGTTCCGATTCTCGAGCGGACGAGCACGATTCGCAGGGCAGAGGGGTGTTCGCTGGAGCTTCGCCGTTGCCGATGCCTTCCTCTGAGCCCCCGCCCTTTCTCGGAGCATTCCTCCCTGCTCGCCAGGCCCGCGCTTGAGCAAGAGAGCCTTCCCTTTTCCAATTTCCAGTAGCCGTGGAAAGCACGATTCCGTTGGTCACCGTCCAAGCGAGATCAAGGGGTCGTAGCAGCAGCTCGTGTAGTACCGTGCGTAGTGGCGTGGACGGCACTATTACAGTAATGAGACATCGTGATGCGATACTGAGAAGGATCAGCAGGAGGATGTGGAATGACGAGGGGGAGGGGAAGAGAGGATGAGGGGCAAGGGGCAGAGGCTAGAGGAAGAGAACGAGGAGAAGGCAGGGCAGGAGGAGCAGGAGGAGCGGGAAGCGAAACGCAAGACTCGATACCGGCTTCCACAGAAGGTCGGGATCCAGTGGCACGTAGAGAACAACGGGGAGCCTTTGCCCTTCACTCGCGGCTGTTCCATGTATAAGGTCGACCAGGCCACCGGCAAGATTGTCTCGGGTTTCGACGTTCCTGAGCCCGCTCCGCTCAAGCCTGGTTCAGCAGGGCTGGCCGTGCTCAATCTGGCCAGCAAGCTGATCGAAGACCCAGTCCGGGCAATTCCGCTCTTCGTCGCCGTGGCGTACGTTGCGATCGTCTTCTTCTCGAACGGAATCCTCCCGGGCCCAGACGCGACACGGTTCGACCCCGCCACGTGGAAGGAGGTGCTCGACTTGTCCATCAACTTCTGGCTCATCAGCCCCCTGCTCGGGCTGCCCTTTGCAGCGATGCTCCACCCCGGCCTGGAGGGCATCTTCAACCTCCTGCTCGCGTGGGCCGCCCTCTTCGCCGGCTTCCTCGCAGACGGGCGGCCCGGGCGGCCGTCTGGGAGCATGCTGCCCACCGTCATCGGCATGCAGTTCCTGACCAACGCCTTCTACCTGCCCTACCTCGTGCTTCGCACACCCGAGAAAGAGGGCGCGGTGGTCTACCGCGAGGACCTGGAGCCCACGGAGGCGCTCGTCAGCGAGAGCAGGCTGCTCGGGCCACTGCTGGCCGTCGTCGGCACCGGCGCGGTCTACTGGGGCTTCTTCGCGCGACCGGAGTACGGGGACGTCCCGACGCGGTGGACGCAGAGCTCACGGCAGCATCGGCACACGCTCGCGGAGCTCCGCGCGGATCTCTTGGATCGGCGCTGGGCCCCCCTCCCTGGCGCGCGGAGCGCGCCCAGCGCCGATCCGAGGAGCTCCTGCGGGCCTTCGAAGGCTTGTGTTTGTGCAGTCGCCGAATGCCCCAGGTGGGCGTCCCTCGTGGCCCTCCTCTCGGGCGACCGCCTGGGCTCCAGCTTCGTCGTGGACCTGGCCCTCTTCGCCCTCTTCCAGGGCTGGCTCGTGGACGACGACCTCCGCCGCCGCGGAGCCGCGCCCGGAGACTACGCAGGCCTTGCCGCGTTCGCCAAGTACGTGCCATTCCTTGGGCTGTGCGGCTACCTGCTGCTGCGGCCCGAGCTGCCGTCGAGGGCCGCCTCTGCCGACCAGAGCGGCGGAGCCCAGGGGAGGAAGAGGCACCAACACCGCTGCGCCCTTGCCTCGTCCTCGCCTGGTGGGGCCTCCTGGGAAGCCCTCGTCACCACGGCTGCGTTCGCTCCGAGATCCCGGTCAGGGCGCACCCCGAGCGAGGGCTGTGGGGAGCAGCAGTATCGGTGCCTCCTGGGTTTCCCCAGGAGCTGGCACTGCTGCAGTGTGAGCTGCCGCGCCGGCGCGCGCGTTCCCAGCGAGTCGGCGTTATCAACTCGCATGTTTCTGAACGCGCGCACGCGCTTGTGCGCAAGAGGCCGCGTGTGAACACATCGTGATCATGTCCCAGCGCTGACTCCAAGTAGGAAGAGTCGAACTGGCTGAAAGGACGCCACTGGTCCCCACACGATTCCATGGGTCTCCGGGGCCAATGGATTCTGTTAGACTCCACTGGTCTCCAGTGCAAGAAGTTGGATTGTATTGCAGTCCGTGAGACTCCATGGGACTATAACGGACTCCACTGAACATTGGCCTCCACAGGACTCCATTACATTATGTTGGACGTCATTGCATTCCATTGGACTACACGGGGCTCCATAGAACTCCATAGAACTCCATAGGACTCCACTGGTCCAATGGACTCCATTATATTCCTTCATGCTTCATTGGACTCCATCGGATTTCATTGGACACTATTGCAATCCATTGGACCTCATTGGACACCACTGCAATCGGCTGGTCTCCACTACACTCTATGAGACTCCATAGGACTCCATTGGACTCGATTGGTCCCCGTTGGATTGTATTCTACACCAATACACATGATTGCAATACATAGGATTACAGTGGACATGCATAGGATTCCATTGAACTATCCAAGATCGTGCAAGGGAAAGTAGAGGGATGGGCCTAGATCAGCTCTAGGTAGTGCGCTAGCACTCCCATAGGCGAGCCTTTTGGGAGGATATGCCCTAACGTAAATAAGACCACGTGAGTCGCCCGGTCATCGACAGCTCTGCGTCTGTATGCGGACAGATGCGCGCTTTACGTGCACGCTTGCTTCATATGGGCACTTGCGCACGTGTGCACGCACACGCTCGCAGGTGCACCTACACACTTATTCAAAGATAGCACAAGGGCATGAGAGTATGTTCGTGTACAAACATGCATGGGCACTGTGTGCGCAGTGGGCGTGACAATGAATCATGCGCGGCGTACGCTCATTGCCACGCACATTATGCAGATGCGCACGTCCGCGAGCACGTGCATGCGCACATTTACCACGCACATTTTGCAGGCGCATGCGCACGTCCGCGAGCACGTGCATGCGCACATTGAGTCGCGAGTGCGAGCACCGAGGGAAGGCAGAGGGAAGGTCAAGAGAAGGTACGCCTCGGGCTCCGCGTCGTTACCGCTTCCCCTTTCATTCCTCCCGGCACGGGAACCACCCGCACGGCGCGCTCTTGTGCTTACGTCGGGCATGTCCCCCTGCAGGAGGAATATTCAAGAATACTCAGAAAAATAGTCTGGGGACGATTGTTCTATTATGTGGGAATATGATACTGGAGAAAACCCAATCATAATCTTTTTAGGGCTATAGGGCTCTGGGGCTATAGGGCTATAGGTATATGAGGCTCTGGGGCGATAGGGCTGTAAGGCTATAGGGCTATAGTGCTACTGGGCACCCGGGGCGTGCCGCCGAAGTTGGCGCCAAGCTTCATTTCACCATATGAGTCCGCTAGGACCCTTACAGAAGGAGAGGGGGACGCTGTGCACCTTGAGCCTTTTATGGCAACGCTGACAGAGATGTCGACTCCACCCCGTGCTCCGAAAAGCGCATGTCCTTTCTCCTACAGAGGCAAGCTCTGATCGGGGAATCTTCCTGTCTATGTTTGCTTTGTCCTCCCAGCCCTGCCTGCAGGGGCACGTGCGGTCAGGCATTCCGGCCCCGCGTGTCGCTTTCGCCAGCAAAATTCTGGCGCGCCACGCTTCGGCGCGACCCGCCATCCGCGTCCCGACGCCCCCACGCGCCGACGCCCCGAGCTGTCCCCAGCCTTCGGGGGGTGGACAGAACCCCCAACAGTGACACGTCGATTCGTGAATTGTCCGTTTTCGGTTCTCGAGAGGGCGCCGTGGCCGTTATTTTCCAGGCTTGCGCCCGCCAGGTTTGGGCCTCAGGTCGGTTTGACTAAACCACGTTTTACTAAAGGGAGGTCTGTCCATCCCCGAAGCCTCCCGCCCCGCGGAGCGGAGCGACACGCTGCCCAGACCCCCTCGCGCTGTGAAGAAAGCACGACGGGAGGTGTTCTATAAACTATTTTCGGCCTCCAGGGGCCCTCGCCGTGGCTCGGGATCGCTGTGAAAAAATCACGACGGGAGGTTTTCTAAACTATTTTCAGCCTCCAGGGGCCCTCGCCGGGCCTCGGGATCGTCAAAAAACGGCCCAGGATGAAAAAAGCCGGTCCCGGGGAACGGGTCCAGACCTCTGTGGGTCGACGCTGTGAAAAAATCACGACGTCGGGGGTCTGGCGATCCGCCTGCCAGGCATGGCGTGTCGCCTCGGCCGCAGCCGCGACACGCCACGCAGAAGCTCTTGACCGTATACCCCCTCCCTGGTACGCTCCGCGTCCCCGTGGCGCCCCTCCGGCGCCCCCCTCTTTCGCCGGCCGCGCCGCCCCCTGAGCGGCGGCCGCAGTTTTCCCGGAGCTCGCCCGCCCTTGCGGCGGCCGCAGCAGCACCGCAGAGCGGGCCTCGAGTTTTCCCCGCGGCCGCGCGACGACAACCACGGCGCTGGGAGCAGAGCGCGGCGCCGCGGCCGCGGATATCACCAGAGGGCTTTGCTTCCGTTTGGGGGAAGAGGGGGAGGAGCGGAAGGCGTTCCATCTCCTCTTCCTCCTCCTCCTCCTCCTCCTCCTCCTCCTCCTCCTCCTCCTCCTCCTCCTCCTCCTGCTCCTCTTCCTCCTGCTCCTCCTGCTCCTCTTCCTCCTCCTCCTCCTCCTCCTCCTCCTCCTCCTCCTCCTCCTCCTCCTTATCCTCCTCCTCCAGTCGGTCGGTCGGTCGGTCGGTCGAACGGCGGAAAGTCGGCGCCAACATGGAGAGAATAGGGCGAGAAGAACACTGGGTGAAGAGCGGGGCAGCGGCAGCAGCAAGCAATCCAGGGAGTGGACACGTGCAACTGCCAACGCCAAAAGGCGCGATCCCACAATGGCCGTGGGCTGGAATAACACAGGGGTACTTTCGCTTAAATTAGATGGGCACTTGAGAAGGAAAAGGATAATGATAGCAGTAGGACTGGAAAAGAAGAGACCTTCCCCCATGCTTGACAGGTCTGTTACTGCCTAAGGCGCCGCGGGCTTCCAAAGTGGAATGCCCACACCATGCAACTACTGCCAAGAAGGTGGCGCGCCTGGCGGAGCTCTTGAGCTCGGCATCCCTTCATTGCATGGCCATTCTCAAACATGTCAAGCTCGTGATGGTCAGCCACGCGCAACTCTGCAACTCACGAAAGAGAGACGATGAGAGGCAAGAGAAGCAAACAGTCACGTCACATCACACACAATCGGGTCCCTATGATTGCTGGGACTGCGTAGCATGCAGTCCATGGCCATACTCCCAACCACATAAGGGTCAAGTGGAGATGCGAACCGTCGTCTCCTCCTCCTCCTCCTTCCTCCTCCTCCTCCTCCTCCTCCTCCGGCTCACCCACCGGGTCTGACTTGGGGCTGGCCGCTTGTCCACGGCGGTGGTCGTTCGAAGTTCGGCCGTGCCTCCTGCCCTGGAGTTCGGAGGACGAACATGAACAGGTACCGTCTTGCTCGTCCTGGAGAGCCCTCGCTGTCAGAGTTAGCCTTTCCTCGAGATCCTGGTCAGAGCCATCCCCCCCCCCTCGGGGGAGGTGAGAGGGCCTCGAAGCAGCGGTATCCGCATGTTCTCGTTCCCCCTGCTCGACGTAGTCTCGAGGTTCGAGGTTTTCGGGCGCGTTCGTCCGCTCCCGGCGGTCCTCCAGCCTCGGGGCGCTCTCCAGCGGCGGCGCCTCGCCGAGAGGCCTCCGGGTGTGCCCAGATTCTCCCGAGTGGCCGCCAGAGGCCCGAGTTGTGACCCGAAAGCTCTCGCTGCTCCCTGCTGCTTGCTGCTCCTCCTGCTCCACGGCCTGCCCGAGCCAGACGGCCACCGAGGTGGAGCGGCGAATTCGCCGAATTATTCCCTCCGGCCTCCCGGCTCCTCCTCGCCCCTGCGCCTCCTTGCTCCTCCCTCCTCGCCCTGCTCCTCCCTCCCCCTCCTCGCCCCTCTCCCTCCTCGCCCTGCTCCGCCCTCCCTCTCCCTCCTTCCTCCGCTTTCCCCTCTCCCTGCTGCTTCCTCCTGCAGCTCCTTCCACTCCTCCACTGTACAGCAGCCGCCGCCGTCGCCGTCGCCGTCGCCGTCGCCGTCGCCGTCGCCGTCGTCGTCGTCGTCGTCATCGTCGTCGTCGTCGTAGTCGCCGTCGTCGTCGTCGTCGTAGTTTCCGTCGCTCTCGTCGTTCGTCGCGTGCCGTTCGTCGTCGTTCCTCGTCAGTTGTCGTCGTCGTCGTCAGGTTTTCGGGTTTTCGTTCGCTCTCCTCTGCTCCAGCTGGCTTCTCGCTGCCGCGGCCAGACTCCCCCCAGAGTGCTCCGGCCGAAGCGCACCTTTGGGAGAGATCCGGAGGCCCAGACATCCAACGATGCGATTATTGCCAGTGCGCGGCCCCAGAGGTCACCGACCGCTTCCCAGGGGCAGTTGCTCGTCCTGGCTCTGTGTCTGACGGCCACGGGGCCCGAGGGCTGACCCCCGATGCAGAAATCCGAGGAAGCATCGGGGTTCGTATCGGGAGAAGGGTTCCACGTGAACAGCAGTTGGGACGTGGGTTAGTCGACCCTAAGAGCCAGGGACGTTCCGCACACGCAGGCTTTGCCTCGTCCCTCGAAAGGGAATGGGGCTAATATTCCCCAACCAGGACGTGGATACTGTATGGCAACGTAAGAGAATTCGGTCTCCCGTGGCTTTCGGGCCATTTGCATCGGGCCTCCATCGGCCGCCCGGGCCGATGCGGGCACCCCAGGACACCTCTCGACGAGGCGCAGCCGCGGAGGAGCGCCTCGGGGCTGGACAGACACCGAGAACCTGCGAAACTCGTTGGGGAGATGGGGGTCGAGTGTCGAGGTGGTCGTTGTCGGTCGTTGTCGTCGTGATGGTGGTGGTCGTCGTCCTTCGGCGCCCTGCGCGTCGGCGGCGAGGAGAGGGACGAGGCGGAGCAGGCCCACCCAGGGATGCCGTCGGTGACCGGCCAGGTGATCCGATGCTCCTTCTCTTCCTCCTTTTCCTCCTCCTCCTGCTTTTCCTCCTCATTCTCCTCCTCCTCTTCCTCCTCCTCCTCGTCGTGCGGACAGCAGGCGCTCATCCTCCTTATCCTCCTCCTCCTCCTCATCATCATCCTCCTCCTCCCCCTCCTCCTCCTCCTCCAGCTCCTCCTCCTCCTCCTCCTCCTCCTCCTCCTCCTCCTCCTCCTCTTCCTCCCCCTCCTCCATTCCTGTTTCATTCCTGGTCCTTCTCAATAATTTCTCCCTGTCGCACCCCGAGGCCTGTCGACAGGGCGGGCCGGGCGTTTCGCCTGAGACTTCCCCACCATTCATGACCCTGAAAATTGGCAACAGCTTCGCAGATGGAGGGCGGGTCGTCTTCAACATGTGGCTTTCGCTTTAGCGCCGCGCACACTTGTTTTAGAAGTTGCCATCAGCTTCACGGATTGATGACGGGTCGTTTTCAAAGTGTGGTTCTCGCCTAGTCGCGAACATTCGTTATTAGAACGCAAGAGCTTCACGGGTTGAGGGTGGGCGGTTTTCAAATTGTGGTTCTCGCCTTAGCGCCGCGCACACTCGTCTTAGAAATTTGCATCAGCTTCACGAATTGAGGGAGGCTCATTTTCAAAGTGTGTCTCGCTGTAGCGCCGCGCACCTTCGTTTCAAACGTTGCAAAAGTTTCACGGATTCCCATGGTCCACGTACCAGAACTAGTGTTTTAAACAGATTCAGGGTTCTGAGGGTGCAACAGTTACGTTGGTTCGCGGTGTTAAAGTCCTAGGTATGGCGCTCTGGCACGATTCTGGATCGTCAACACGCAACGGTCAGGTTGATCCTTGGCGTTGGAGTCCCAGGAGTCATGTTTTTGCATGCTTCAGGGTCTTCAAACGGTTGTCTTCCAACGAGGCAGCTCCCTCAGTGGAAATGAACCCTTGTGGTGGCTTGCGAAGAGGGAGCTTGGAGGGAGGATGTATGCCAGCATCGTTGATGGCTCTTGGGTTTACACTGCTCCTCCTCCTCCTCCTCCTCCTCCTCCTCCTCCTCCTCCTCCTCCTCCTCCTCCTCCTCCTCCTCCTCCTCTTCCTCTTCCTCCTCCTTCATCGACGCGAAGCGATTGATTTGCCGCTTTCAGAGTTCCGCAAGGCCCCGATGTCGAGTGCAGCAGCGCAGGCCGCGGAGCAGAGGGCCCTGCGTCGTCGGCGGAGCGGAGTTCCGAGGCTGTCCAGTTTGGTTCGGCTCGTCGCCCTTCTTCCAGTTCAGCTCAGCTCAGTGCTACATAACAGCGCCAAAGAGGCTCTCAAGAAACGCATGTTTGGTAAGGGGAAGGTCTGGGTTCCTTCCTGAACCAGTCCGCCCCCATCGCAAACTCGGCATGCCGCATACCTTGGAACATACGCCGCGGCCGTAGAATAAATCACCAGACCACCCGAGAACAAATCTAACGATGCACAAGTGCTTGCTTCCCCGAGGAGGCCTCCCAGAGAGGCCCGAGACGGCCGAAGAGAATTGACGGCGGCGCAGAAGACTGTGGCGCGAGTCGGGGAGGGCCTTCTCAGAAGGCAGGCCCCACAGGGAAGTCCACTGCGGCCCCAGTGGAGGCACTCCTGCATGGCGCCGCCGCGTCTACGCAGGCAACCCCCTCACTCTTTCCGTGTCCAATAGTCTGGAAGTCCCACTGTGGCCCAAGCGCAGGCTCACACGGCGTCTTCGCGCCTATTTCGGCGCACCCCTCACACGAATCGCGCCCCAAATGCCCCAATGCGAGGTTAGCATAGCGTCGCCCCGCCAATTTCGGCGCACGCCTCACACGTTTTCACGCTCCATAAAAAGGAGCTCAGCCTACGACGTCAGTGGGGGAACTAGCTAGCATAGCGCCACCCCGCCCATTTCGATGCACCCATCATGCGGATCATGTCTCCGAGGGAACCCCAGCTCTCTCTCTCTCTCTCTGTCTCTCTATGGCGGCGCGTTGTATATGAGATGTTTTAGGGGTGAGTCCCTCGCCAAACTAGTTCAATCTCAGTGTTTTACACGTTCTGGCTCTAGACAGCTTCTCGAGCATGTCTCGTCTTGAAGCCCGTCCCGGCACCGCCCATAGGCCCCTCAGAGACCACAAAAAAAGGGACAAAAACCCCAAGAGGCCCCAAAGATATCCCAATTCTGCCCAAACGTGTATCATCAGGCTCCCAGGACGGGCTCTGAGCAAGGCCCTGGGCTGAGCCCAAAGAGGCTCCAAGACGGCCCAAGTGTGGCCCGACTTCGCTGCACCGCGGTGTGCCCCTCACAGACCGCGGGGCCTCAACACTAACCGCTCACTCCTCTATGATTAAGTCGGGCCTGTCCCTATACAGGAGGAAAATTGAAAAATAGTCAAAAAAATAGTCTGGGGACGATTTTTTGAGCATTTGTTGGCCATATTGGGTCATGCTCGGGGTATGCGTGATCTTTCGCCCAAAACCCCCCTGTAGGGGGACATGCCCGACCTGACTCTATGAGGGGCCCCCCTTCCCTGAGGGTGGGCGCCGCCCCGCCCGCACGGCGCCTCGGAGCC